TTTTAAAGTTAGATGATGCTGGGCGGAGGGGGGATGTGAATGAGAGTCCAGCTAGACATAACAACACTGAACCTAGCATGAGAATCAAGGTTATTGAGCCCAGAGCTGATAAAGAATTGGAGAGCTGGAGAGAAAGCCCGTGGGTCAAGCTAATTGGGGAATGTGATTTACGTCTGTAAATTGGAGGAGGGAATTGTGCTTTAATACTATGTGCCCAGGGGAGGGGAATTCAGTTTTTGGCTTCGGTTATATAAGTGCCAGATATTATGCTACTCAAATAAAAGGTTCTTTACGGTAAACAATGCCTCGAAGTTTTTTTGAAGAGTTTCATCTGTCGGAACCATGACAGGTACCTTGATACTCAACTGCTTGGAAACTCATCGAATTTGGTACACAACACATTTTGATGCAAAAAATGTTGTCTCGGTACTCATTGTTTGTTTGATACTCAATGCACAAGCTAGAACATGTTGATGTCAGCTGCCTTGTGACTCACTACATCAGGGGTCTTCAAACTTGGCCCTTTTATGACTTGTGGACTTCAGCTCCCAGAATTCCTCAGCCAGGCATGCTGGCTGAGGAATTCTGGGAGTTGAAGTCCTCAACTCATAAAAGGGCCATGTTTGAAGACCCCTGCACCACATTATTCCTTATGGGAAAAAATTCTTTGGTACTCATTGTGCCTCCTGGAAGCAACTAACAATGAGTAACAAGGTAGCACTGTACACGTTCCATGCTCAACGCAACTACTTCAAACTGAGCTTTACAGCAAACGCCACTCAAAGCGTAGTCTTTACAGATCACAGCTCAAGCCCACCTATTGTAATCTGATGGCGACGCTTCTTAAGTACTCTATCCGAGTGCATCTCCAATTTTCAGGAATCTGAACAAACGCACCCTCTCCACTTACCATACTGTGTAATAAATGCGATACAGCTGGTCACTATAATCGGTACGTCATTTTTGCTGAGCTGCTGATCTTCTAACATGTTGCCATCTGTACCAGCTGCTTTTTCAATTGCGCTACGCCAGACTGTGAAATCCAACTTGGTATGGCCGCGGATGTATAATGTTCTGCAAAAAAAAAAAGTTTGAGGAAAGACGTCAAAAAGGGGAGAGAGAGAGGGGGGGGAGGGAGGGAGGGAGGTGAAAATGCTCTCTCTTTAAATGAAAAGCCACGGCAAGGACCGATCGCACAAACGCTGCAACTGCAAAGCAAGTTCAGGAGACCACTGCTGGCTGTTGCAGAGAGCAGATATTCCATTTAAGAAAAGCACACCTTGTCTGAGTAAGAAGCTGAGACAGTCAGGCTTGGCTCATGCTTGGATGAGATAGACAGCCCAAAATCTCAGTGCTGTACAACAGAGGTCCCCAAACTTTTGAACACCAGGGACCGGTTCCGTGGAGAGAGTTTTTTTCCACAGACCGGAGGGGGTGTGGTTTTATGTGCTGCCTGCATCCCACAGATGGGGCTTTGCTTGTTTGTGTGGACCGATTGTTGGCATGCCACAGCCCGGTACTGGTCCATGGACCGGTGGTTGGGGACCCCTGCTGTAGAATGTAGTGGCAATGTGGAAGACCATTGTGAGGAATTAATGAGATATTTTGATTTCTCCTACATATTAAGAAAAAAGCTTAGAGGTTTAGAGCTCATTCTGAGTTGACTTCCTTGTTTTTCACTCTCATTGGCTGAAGGAGAAAGAGAAGGAACGTTCACATAGCTTCAAAGCTTTTCTGGCTGTAAAGGTCTGACTTTTAAGTCATCTGCCAGCTACTCAAGGTTTGATAACACGGATAAACCTCCAGGTGGCCTCAACGACTCTCTAAAAGAAGGCAAAGGACCAGCTGTCTGCAAGGAGTATAAATCCTTCCAATCTCCACCATCCTTCAGAGCTGAAGAAGCTTCTTGGATGAGAAGCGAAACGTCTTCCAAGAAAAACAAGTAGGTCCAGTTGCCTCCTAAGAAAGCATCTTTGGGACAATTATGACCTGGATGTCTGAGAATCTCCATAGACCAGGGGTGTCAAACTGCCGGCCCGCGGGCTGGACACATCACACAGGAGCCATGCCCATCCCATTGCTGGCAATGGCAAAACTGTCCCGATATGTTGCACGACGTCACATGATGTCGCGAGTTTGACATGTCTGCCACAGACAATCCTTTTCCTCCTCCTCTGCTCTGCAAACTCTGTTCCTGTTTGGCAGTGATGATGTTACCTAGCTTGTAAATAAAATATCCTTTTCCTTCTCCTCCTTTGCTTCCTCCTCCTTCTCCTCCTCCCCCCTTGTCCTCTTCCTTCTAGCACTGAGGATGTTACCCAATGGTGGGATTCAGCCAGTTTTCACCAGTTCATCAACTTTTGATGAGTTCAGAGAACCAGCTGAATGAACACTGCTTCCAGTAGTCCGTTCTGGGCCTCAAGAGGCCTGGAGGAGGCCTCCCAGGGCTAGAATGGCCTGCTAGAAGTGCATGGATGCCACTTCCGGAAGTCTGTTCTAGGCCCCAGAGGCCTGGAGGAGGCATCCCAGGCCTAGAACGATCNCCACTGATGTTACCTAAATGGATAATGAAATGTCTGCAAGAAAACCAGTAAACTTAAGGAGCACCAAGGACCCATCATTTCAATCCTATGAGCTAGAAATAGTCTCTTCTCTCGGTTCCTCTTGGAACAGACCAAAGTAGCTAGAATACAGCCAGGTGCAGTCTACTGCGGTACACACACATCCATTTTAAAAGGCAAAGGGATTAAAAACCCTTTGCAAAATATATTTTCTCTGCTCAGCTGAGTTTTTCAGTCAATATTTATACAGCATTAGCTAAGGAGCGGATGCCATGGCACTCCATCACGTTTTATTTGGCTGATTTTTTTTTTTTAAAGAAAAATAACTAAGATCAAAAGCAGCTTTCCCCTCCTGACACATCTATTGCTTCTTGTTTATGGGCAATTTATCACTTGCAAAGTCCTTACGGGTTCTGTTGGACGTTCTACCGTATCATGTAAATAGTCCCTATAAAATAAAGAAATGTGGTTTTATTAAAGTCCGTCTCCCGTGGACCTTTCCAAATGCGTCTAAGCCTGTGTGTAAAACTCAGGCAACATTTTATTTCCTAAGAGAAGAGCAACACCTAACGATGCTTTTGCCAAACCATATCGCGTTCATTTTTCTACTGTACCAACCTAGAATTAATGCCACTGAAAAACTAAATGCCACAAATTAATAATCTTAATCCTTTACCGGGGTAGCATCCAAACATCAGCGGCACGGTGAGAAAAAAAGACCTTAGGAACAGCAAATTTACTCAAAATCTCTGCACATGAGCAGGATAATAGTAATAGTAGTAGTAGTAGTAGTAGTAGTAGTAGTAGTAGTAATGTTGGAAGGGACCTTGAAGGTCATCTAGTCCAACCCCCTGTTCAGGCAGGAAACCCTATCCCATTTCAGACAAATGGCCATCCAGTCTCTTCTTAAAAACTTCCAGTGTTGGAGCATTCACAGCTTCTGGAGGCAGGTTGTTCCACTGGTTAATTGTTCTAACTGTCAGGAAGTTTCTCCTTAGTTCTAGGTTGCTTCTCTCCTTGATCAGTTTCCATCCGTTGCTTCTTGTCCTGCCTTCAGGCGCTTTGGAAAATAGCTTGACTCCCTCTTCTTTGTGGCAGCCCCTGAGATACTGGAACACTGCTATCATGTCCCCTCTTCATTAAACTAGACATACCCAATTCCAGCAGCCGTTCCACGTATGTTTTAGCCTCCAGTCCCCTGATCATCTTTGTTGCTCTTCTCTGTACTCTTTCTAGAGTCTCAGCATCTTTTTTACATCGTGGTGACCAAAACTGGATGCAGTATTCCAAGTGTGGCCTTACCAAGGCATTGTAAATTGGTATTACAATGCCTTAGTAAGGCCACACTTGAGAAGTGATGCCTACTTTTTCATATGTATTTATGTCTTCCCAAGACCATGTCTAAACAGACATATGTGTGCAGTACTGCACTGAACAGACCATGGTTGATCTCCCAAAGGTAACTAGAATGGGACTTGTCCCAGAGGTGCTTTTTCAAGAGGCAGCTGGATTTTCTGGTTTTTCTTTGAAGACATTTTGCTTCTCATCCAAGAAGCTTCTTTGGCTCTGACCAAATG